ATCTGTTCACAATTTTCGATTTCTGGACCCCTGCGATTGCCGACAACGCCCGCAGGTGCCGGACCTGGTTCGCATTCCTCATGGCTCTTCTCCGTTACCTGATCCTTCGAAGTGACCTAAACCCAAAACTAGGAGATATCTCTAAACCAAAAGTGGTCCTTAAAATTATGATGGTGCCGGTTGTGATAAGCACTTGCATGTCAATTTTCTACTGGGGACGATTTATTTTCGTTGAAGGAGGCTTATGGTTTCCACCTGATGGGTAAGTGTTCTTTGTGCTAGATTTCTGTAAGAGACATTGGAATTTCGAAAACTATACAATTGATAAAGGAGTTTATCACAAACATTTTATCAGTTGATTTATGTTTGGTATCTCTCATAGACACCGAGCTATTTGAGGTCAAAGTATACTCAGACGAAATGAAAACTCATGCCGGCGCGAAAAGTTTTCTTGCGGCGTACACGCCGCAGGAGAAATTGTTGTTTCAGGCCGGCAAGGTTTTTTGAAAGTCACGCCGGCATGGAAAAGCTCTTTCAATCCTCCCCCTTCCCTCCGCAACTGATGAATCAATAAAAATACACTATTTATTAAAGAGAAATAACTGAAAAGTAACATATTTAAAAAAGTAATAAGAATTAGGGAACTACATTTGAAGTACAATTTGCGAGAAGTATATAAGGCCGAAAAAATCCCACTTATTATATCCGACTAGTTGATCTTCCATTTCATCGAAGTGAGAAGGAAATATTATGCAGACAATCAAGAGTATCTGAAAAATCTGATAACTTATATTTTTATGAAAACCTGAAAATTTCAAACCTTCTCGATTCTCGTTTCGCAAGTTAGCTGAGCAGTCGAGAGAGCCATATTTTCTAGAATGTGGAAAATATTTGAGGGATGAAACAAAAATAAAAAAGCTTGAGAATAGGAAAACTTGAAAATAAATTTAAAATTATTTAAAAAACTCCGGCATTTCGGAGCTTCGTTTCCTCGCCGGCAGATAATTTTCCTTTCCCTAACCGTATGGCATGACCCTCTATATCTCCGGCATGACCCTTTCTTGCCGGCAAGCAAAATTATCATGCCGAAACCAAAAATTCTCATGCCGACAAGGCACTTCCTCGCCGGCATGAGTTTTCATTTCGTCTGAGTAGGGCGGTGTTTTAGGATCCTTAGAGGATTCCAAGGAACCAAGGAGTCGAAAAAATTAAGAACCCTTTTTTCGTACACATTTGGACCGCTAGCTTTTTTGGGACTTCCACACTACGGTATAATTGAAAATGTTTGATTCAGGTGCACAAACTATCCCTCTGGATATACTCAAATGACCTATGTTTCAAAAGTAGGGTACGGTCTGTACTATTACTCCCTTCCACTTCGAATTTTCAACTTGGTCGATGGGATATTAAAGGTACATTAGTCCCAAAAACAATTATCTTTTCCGGAACTTTCCAGCTAATTCCGACTCTGATGTTCCCTCTACTCACATTCCTCTTAATCCATGAACTTCGGAGAACCAAGAATTCAATAAAAAAATCTCAGGGAATAAAACAAGAGGATTCAAAAGGAGACCACACGACGAAACTGGTAATTATGATGACTATAACATTTATGACAGCTGAAAGTCCATTTGGCATAGTCTATTTTATTGAGGGTGTCATTACAGAGCCTCCAGGATTCGCGTATGTATTCAATAGTCTAAAAATGTACTCAATCTTCTATAAAATTCAATTTTCAGCAGCATCATACAACGGAGCAAATATTTGTTTGAAACTTTTGTCATTATAAATGCCACATCTCATTTCTTAGTATGCCTTTTGGTATCCTCTCCGTATCGAAAAGCAGTAAAGGAAATTTTCTGTAAAGCTGAGACGCAGAGAAAGCAGACTACTGTAATATTACTGTAACACCTAAAAATTTTAATGAATAAATTATTTTAGACACTTATTACTCCGAAATCAATCATGTCAGTGGTGCAATAGAAATAGAGGAAATTAATGATGTTTGGTTTTCTTTGAATAAATACTGTTTTGAAGACTTCACTCAATATTTTGCCACCGTTCTAAAACGTCCGGTTCCAAGATGAATACCATAAAGCCTGTAATAGAAGGACCCTTAACTTTGATCCATTTTATCTAATTTCCTATACAAGATAAAGAAGTTGTCATCTGATATATTGTTAATCATAACATCGTGAACATTTTATCAGTTGGCCTATTTTTGATGACTCCTGTAGCAACTTTTGAGTAACTCCAACAGGAAATGAAATAGATTTATTCTGGGGAAAATCTGAGCGAGTAACAGCCATTTCGCGATCCGTTAAATATTGAACAGGTTGGGACCCGGATGTTTTAGGATATTGGATGATATTTATGCAGTTATAATATCGATAATACACTAGTTTTCTGAAAAAACAGTATCGATTTTTGTTTTAAAAAGATTCTTCTCACATTATTCAATTTACCACTACCGCACTTCAAAATCTCTTTGACCGATTTTCTATACTGTGTAGACACTTTCAGACAAATCACACAATGTATACTGGAATTTAACACCTTGAATATTCCCCACATTTCCACAAAATCATAGGAGATATTACTGAAAATCTTAATTTCGAGAAAATTCAAAAACTTTTGGAGCACATACACCAGACCAGGCGGCCCTGTGACAATGCTCTGAAAAAAGTAGGCAATTCCAAATGGACCTTCTGCTAGAATAAACGTTATAGTCATCAGAATGACAAGTTTGGTAGTGGAATCTGGATTGGTAATATTTTTGGAAACTCCAGAAACTTTTCTTCTAGAAATTTCCGCTTTTCGCAACTCCTTTATAAGGAAAAATGTTAGAATAGGAAAAATAATACTTGGTATAATCTGAAATTTTCCCTTTTTTTCAAAGTCTTCATAAATTAAGTGGTACCCGTAATGATCCATCTAGCAAATTGAAAACCTGAGTGTCCCATTTATATTCAGTTTTTGATCTATAGTCCACTCCAGACTGATAGACATCATAGGTCCCTGGAAATCCCGCACAACCTTCTGGAACATTCCAAACATCTATAGATTCTATAGAATCTCTTCCGAAATAAAATATAGACATCCCGGTGCTCAAGAAAAACATAAATATCATAATTTTGATGGAAAATATTGGTTCAGAAAATTTGGCCATCTTCGGGTTCAAGGAATTTTTGATGATAAAATATCGAAGAGACGCCATAAAAACACCAAACCAAGCCACTAAACGACGAGAGCTGTCTTCAAGGATTGCGTTGAAAAGTTCTATAATTTTTTCGAAATGTGTCCATGGAGGTGTGCTGAAAAACTTTTCTTCATTAATAGTTTGGCAAAAATATCATATTGAGGCTTTTTCAAGGGAGATTGGAGACTGGTCCTAAGAAGTCTTTTCACAACTGGTCGTTCCAGAACCGGTCATTTCGCAACTGGCTATTTTGCAACCGGTAATTTCACAAGCGATCGTTTCGAAATGGGAAATTTCAGAACTGTTCATTTCGGATCTGAAAATTTCGCAACCGGACATTTCAGAACTGGTCATTCCGCACCTGACCATTTTGTAACCGGGCATTTCAGAAGCAGTACTTTTGCAACTGACCATCTTGCAATCAGACAGTTCAGAACCGGCCATTTAGCAACTAATCATTTAGCGACTGGACGTTTCAAAACTGGTCATTTCGCAACTGACCATATTGCAACCGCTAATTTCACAAGCGATCGTTTCGAAATGGGAAATTTCAGAACTGTTCATTTCGGATCTGAAAATTTCGCAACCGGACATTTCAGAACCGGCCATTTCGGAACTGACAATTTCGCAACCAGACATTTCAGAACTGGTCATTTTGGAACTGACACTTTTGCAACCGGACATTTCAGAACCGATCATTTAGCAACTAATCATTACGCGACTGAACGTTTCAGAATCAGTTAGGGCCAGGACAAGAGCCGAATTTCTTTATTACCATTCATCTCTCAAATTGATCGCTAGGCCATCATAGATGATAAAAACCATTGTGAGTAGATCAAAAAATCCAATCCCAATCATTATCACATTTATACAACTGGTCCGCATAGTTTTTTGATAAAGAGATTTTATATGGAATATGCTTACGAGTAATCCGGGGAATGACACAATTAATTGTAGATTTAATGATGAAACGTTAATTGAGTTTGTAAATGTTCCAATCGAAATTAAAATTTGAATAGTTGAATTACGAAATCCATCGAAATCAGAGTAGGAGTAAATTTTTGTGGACATTTTTTGAGAGGAATGAAAAAGAAAACTTTTTGAGTTGTGTTGTTTTATAAAAATGATTGAAAAGTTATGAAATCAGAGGAAAAGAAATGTTAGTTGATCATTGAAAAACCAAAAGTAATTTAATTATAGAAAAAAAACAAGCGATTCTGACTAATTTTTGGCTACAAAAAATACGGAAAAGTCGTGTTGAGCAGGTTCGGTTGGAGGATATAACTGAATTTTAGAATTTATTGTTACAATTCTCATAAATCATTGGGGGGGGGGGGGTTGTATTATGATATTGTAATACGTTACAGGGTTGTAATACGATAATTTTGAGTCAATGTTATGCTTTTGAAAAATGGTATCTGGATTTTTAGGCAATCATTTATTTGATAATTTCTACATTTTTCGAATTTTGAAAAGCCGACAAATTCTAACATCTTGAAACTTTCCGGTGCAAAATGTTTATTTAGGAAATGTGTAAAACAATACATGAGGCTAACAATGATCGACGGCTTCCATTCCTGGGACAATGGAGGGAAATTATCTATTTCAGAGCTCATTGTAAGCTGACTTGTGCATCGCTGGATGGATCAGTTTTATATTTAGCATCTCTGACAAGAGGTGCAATTTTTACACACCAAAGCAGTGGGCGGAAACCAGATGTATTTTGTACCACCTTCTACAAAAATAAGGCAGGTGAAATGCTAACGAAAATCCACTCGATATGCTCATGCGAACCACACTCATGAACTCTACATGCAACCCGGATGTTGGATATTTCGACTCTCCAAAGTTTCTATCATTGGTTCTCCATATCAACACAATTATTTCCACACCAATTTATCTCTTCGGATTCTACTGTATCATTTGGAAAACTCCAGTGATTATGAAATCAGCAAAACTGTATCTGCTGAATTTGCACATCTGGATTGTTTCGTTCGATTATTCGATTAGTATACTGGCAATCCCACTTCTGCTAGCACCTCATTATGCTGGTTATCCCTTGGGAGTGTTAAGTTGGTTTGATGTATCAGTTTTGTTTCAGACTGCTATGGTGTTCTTTTTCATTGCAAGTGAGGAGTCATAAAATGTTTCATACTAGCTAAAAATATGTTTTAAGATATGGTCGCCTCAATTGTTGTAATTTTTGAAAGCCGTTTTTATACAGTATGTGAATTCAGTTGGAAGCCATACTGGAAACGTTGGCGTAAGACCGGAGTTATCTTTTATCACGTTGTTCAGAGTTGTGTAATACTCGCACTTGTTTTCTTTGCTTTTGATCAAGAAACTGTGAAAAGAAATTTGTTTGCGGTGCTTTCTGTCAGTTTGAAATCAAACTATATCAGCTTAATTACAGCAACTCCCATGCTTACCTCAATACATTTATGACGCCAATATCTTTGTCCTTTGTGACAAAGAGACTTATCGTATGTTATTTTTATTGATAGCTATAATCTTAGCTTCTGTAATGGTTGTCTCATTTGCAATTCTTCTGGTGTGGAACATATTAGTCCCAGTAAGAAGCCGAATAATGTCACAAAACACTTTTCAACTCCAGAAGTCGTTTCTCATAGCTTTAGGAGTTCAGATAGTAGTGCTTCTCTGCACGATTGTAATACCTGTTGCATATGCGGAAATTTCAATTGTATTTAACTATTACAATCAGTCATTTACAAATTTCGCCGTATGTTTATTTCGCAGTATTTTTTTTCGTCAAGTTTCTGATAAATTTGGAAATTTTGGAAGGTGTAAAACAGACCTAGATTGAAAACGTTGCATTCACAGACATTTTGAAAATTCCTGGTTTTTCAGCTATTTTCCAATAACATGATTTTATACCCATTTTTATACTGAAATTGTGAAAAAAAAATGTGTGTGTGTGTGTGCTCTCTGTTTTTGTCGACGCAAAGTTATTCTATTTTTGCAATGATAGCTCAAAAATCTCACGTCTGCCCGAAAGGCCCAAGAATG